CTTTGCATGTTGTAGCATTGCAGAAGTCATTGCATTTGATGGATGTCCTAATCTATGATGCCATAAGCTTGTATTAATAGGTTTGGCTAGATAGCATGCATGTGAGTTTGATGCAGGTAGTGTCTTTTGTGGAGAATGAAAAGGAATAGGATAATAACCAGCTTTACACAGTCCTTTGAGGAGTTTTCTCCTTGTGATTTTGTCCTGAACCCAAAAGGAAATATCATCACATATGAATCTACATTTGTTATCTTTGAAGAGTTGATATATAGATAGATGATGTTGTGAGAGTTTAGGAACATGCAGCACAGTTTTCAATGTAAAAGTATGACAAGCTGTTTGCAGTTTTGATGTACCAATGCTAGAAATAGTCAAACTTGCACCACTAGGCACTAGTACCTGCAACCCAAAACTGTTCAGGTGGTGCAGAAGGATTATAACTTGCTTGCATTGTAGTGAGGTTAACTGAGGGTGGTCTCCCTTGATATGCAAAATTATTTCGGTGATAGCACTGAGTAGCTGAATGCCCAAACTTCCAATAGATTTGAAACTATATAATTGCATTTTTTCCAGTGGATAAGGTATTGTACCTTTGAAAACAATCTCCAGCTACATGGGCCATTATTATACTGAAACCTACCTGTTCCTTTTCCTTTGTAGTTAGACCCCTTATATCCATTAGAATGAAATGAATTGCCATTAAAATTTCCAGAGCCATACTGAGAAGATGACCCTTGACCAAAATTATACCCATTGGAACTGGACCGTTCATTGTTTGTGTATCATTGGCTTGAGGAGCCTATATCCAAGTCTTGAGATTAAGATGAAATCTATTCAAGACTAAGAGCTTTTCCTTTTGTTGACTGATTACTGGCAACCATTGCAAACCTAAAATATATAGAAGATTCACAAGACTGTCCAATTATAGCTTCCTTAGCAAGAAGCTGTGATCTAAAATCTTTCAATGAAATCCTACTTTCTCTTGCTCGAACCACACATCGAAACGTATTGTAATCAGTCGATAACCCTTTAAGAGCAAGAATGATTATGTCTTCATCTTCAAATAAGACGCCTGCTGCAACAAGATGATCTCTTGCATCCTTAATTTTCTATAGATAAACCAATATGGAATCTGACTCTTTCTGAATGTTTTGCAGCTCTGTCTTCATTTGAAAGATTGTAGCTTTTGTGATCGTAGAGAATCGCTCTTTAAGACTTGTCCATATTGCATGAGAACTAGTACTGCTAAGAATGTAAGAAATCGCAGTTGATGAAAAAGTAGCTATAAGAAGTTGCATGAAAGCTCGATCATGCATCTTCCAGACTTGATAGGCATCTGTTTATACTCCTTCAAGATTTGCCTCATCAAGAAACCTTTGTGGACATTTCTTGAACCCATCAACAAAACCAAGAACGCCATGACTCTCTAGCAAAAGACTTATTTGAAAGCTCCATACAAGATAGTTGGAGTCATCCAATTTCATTGTAACAGAAGACGGTACAGTAGTGATGAGATTTGTAATGGGTGATTGTACAATTTGCAATTAAGTCACAGTGACCATTGTTCTAATAGCAAGAAAAATCTTCACTTTGGACTTTTATCAAACACGTAACGTGCACTATTTAATCGAACAAGTATCTTCAAGATTGGGAATTTGATGAACCCAAAAAATCACAAAGAATCAACAAATTAGAAGGTTGAGAAAAGAAATGTATGTTGTTGAGACTATGCGGAAGCATTTGAATCCACCCTCGGTGAGGATACCATGTAAAGATTGTAGAAAAGGTTTGAGCATAAAGAATTTAGAAGTGTTCGCAGCGAAGAAGAAGAAGAGAGAGAGAGAGAAAATTTAGACTTAGAGAGAGAAGACGTTTGTGATGTGATATAAACTAACACACAAATTAAACCTTCTTTTTGATAGTTGTAGTATGTGAAAGTAGGGATCATTCTAAGTTGGGGATTAGGAGGGCTGCTAATCTACACAAATTAAACTCTAAATCACTAAACTAGACTCGAAAACAGAAAACTAAACTTAAACAACTCAAAACAAACTCAAATAACACAAACTGGCTCAAATAACCCAAAACAAGCACTAAGGAGTGATTTAGACGAAAATGTAACTAAAAAGACTCAATATACTAATTAAGGGTTGTTTTGACAAATTTAACTAAAACTAAGTAAATTGCAGAAACAAATTAAATTTGGTACGAAATTGAGGTGAATTAAGGGGTGAAAGGTTAGCTAGAGGATCATTCTCCACACATGACACATATGTATACAAATCGATTTCCAGTTATTATTCCTATAAACCAAGAATGACAATGCCCCAAGTTAACCGTGAACTGCACAAATTAACTCTCAGATTTTCCTAATTTCATTGAATTGGACTCAGCGACGCAATCAAATTATTCTTATCAAGTTCCCTATATGAACTGCATAATAGAGATATATATCAAAGATCATTAAGTTCTATGAAAATCATAAGTATTGACAAGACATTTGTAATTATGAACTGCATGATACTCCTGCCATGGATTAACTTAACACAATCGTGACTAACAACCTCCACTACTTATAAATATAAGTTCATAACGATTAGGTGAAATTCTCTTATATTTTAGCATCAAATTCATGCATGCAAACTAAGTAGGCATCCTTAATCAACATACAATAATAAGTTATCGATCAAACAGATAAGTAAATCGCATTCATGTTTTACGAAACAATAACTGGAGGAAATCAATTCATATCACTTATATGTTCATGGCTTTGAATTCACCTCTAACTGAAAAGAAATTAGTTCCACATGTTCATCATAATTGAAAACCAAATTAATACAAACATTGGACTAAAACTAAGGATAGAATACACCTAGAAACACTCCAGCAATCGCAAAGGCTTTGGATTGCAGGTCACGGCACCAAGCTCTTCTTCTCCTTACTTCTTTGCTGTGACACAAAGTAAGATTTCTGATTTTCTCTCTAAGGCTCTCTAGTGTGTGGTGGTAGAATTATGCGGCACTAAGTGGTATTTATAGGGCTAGATGCAGCACAATTTCTGAAGGGAAAAGGATTGCACGACATAATTTGTAAAGAAGAAGGATAGCACAATCCTAGGAGGAAAGGGAATAGGATACACGGCAGATTTCTAGGCTTCTAGAAAGGTTGGTGCGACAGAGATTTAGGATTGAGGATAGGGCTTCTAGAACTTGATATTTAGGTGATTTAATGTGAAATTGAGTCCTCTTTGCAGCTGGAATTAAGGTAGGATAAGATTAGGTTAGGATAAGATAAGATAAGGTTGGATAAAGTTTGGATAAGATGAGGTAGTTTGGATAATGTTTCCTTCTTCTTAGCTGATTCCTTATCTTCCAAGTCTTGATTTAATTCTTCCAAATGTTAAGCACATTCCTAGCCTCTTTTGATCTTAAAAAATGTCCATCCACCTTGTTCCATGCATGTGTTACCCATTCCAAGCCCAAAACTGCTCAAAATTGCCTTTTCTTGCCAACTTTGCCATTTGGACCTACAAACACACGAAAATAGCTTAAAACACTCTAATAAATATAAACTAACTGAGTAAATGCAAGGAAATAGGCTAACAAAGTCGCATAAATATGCTCCTATCAGTTTGTTGTATTTCTTGACTGTTCAGCAACTGAATTACAAAGATTGTTATATAGTTTTTACAATGCTTTTCCCTTAAGCCAAAGACTAACTACCTTATAACAACCTATGTTATCTCTTGACAAGTGTCACTCAATCTAACCATTGATTCATCTTCTACATGTATATTGGTTTTCTTCACTTCACTATTCTTACAAAGCTTACTGCTAGCTTGTAGCTTCATCCACTTTCAATTGATCATCTTAGCTTCCGGAGGTATCGAAAGTTAGAGGGCTCTTCGTTGAACTCTAAGAGGAGAATCAATACTAAGTGCGGATACAATTTCTTGTTGGAGATTGGTGAAGGTGTGGAACAACGTTGAAGTCAGATTTCAACTGCATTCTAAAGGTACCAATTCGATCGTACACTTTTGTTGATATTGATTCTATACTTGCATGCATATGATCATCAATCTAAAGTTATTCTAAGAGAAGGTTTTAAAATGTTCAATTGGGTCTCATGTTTCCGATTGTATATAGCGTTATTGCATCAGTTTCCATCTTTGGAACGACATGCATGTGTTATCAAGATTTCAATAACGTTTGAAAATTTTAAAAGGCTCCTTTTACACAAAATGGTTTTCACCATTTACTATGTAATCTCTCTTATGCATACAGAGAAGGTACCTTGTACAGGGGAACAGACCGCACCACCCTCTAATCTTGCAATGAGTAGCCTAAAACAAACGTACTTCAAACTCACTTCACATGCCAAACGCACATAGCACAAGAGCCGCAAAACTACAATCTCAATTCTAAACAACAATTGCCGCTCTAAGATATGAGGTTAAGCATTAAGCTAATCGCTACAAAAGGCTCTACTCGGCATAACAATAAAGCACCACAACCATGAAAGTTCTTCACGACAGAGTGAAAGATTGACTACAAAGAAGAGATTAAAATGGTTAGAAGATAAGAGAATGATGAAAAAATAGAGAGAAAAAATCAAGAGGGATTGTTAACGATTCTACGGACAAAGGCAGAAGTTGATGACTATTTTCTTATTTGTTATAGCAGCTAGGTTTTATTTATCAACTTGTAGTCTTTATTATTGAAGGTTGTAAGGGATGTTTGAATTTGTGAAAACTTGTCATGTACTTATAATCATTGTTAGTTTGTTCATACGTTTCTTAAGTTAATGGTTTGACGGGTGAAACATGACATGAAATACAAAATTAATCAGTTGAATTTGGATTTATATATTAGGATATGGTAATCTATCGACTAGTTTTGATTTTAGGATAGTTTTGGCACATTGCCACAACTATGTGATTCAATAAATCCACACTAAGAATTTTCACCTTTGTACTACATTACTTTAATTTTTGGGCAGAAAACAATAGATGTTCTTATTGATTACCAACAGATGGTAGTTTTTAAGTGATACTACTACAATCCAGGCCGGACATCACATTCACCCAACACAAGCGAACTTATAGACTCACAAGAATACAGTACAACAAAGCATGCTTAAAATTTACATTTTATAGCCCAAGAGCAAATGGAAAACCAGTAGAACTCAACCAACTACCACCAGCAATGAATCTGCCGGGCGTATAGGCCTGAGCCTCAGTGGCACTTGTAATTACCTTAAACCCCTTCCACGTCACCCTTTTCGAAGTCCCAGCGCCTGCCCCAGTGTTAGCATACTCTCCATAAAACAAAGTGTTGAGGGCAAAAGTGCCAGACCACTCATGCCACCCAACAGGGTCAATGATATCCGTTATACTTGACTGCATGATCACAGTCCTTGAATACTCCTTCCATGGCCTCCCCAAAAATGTTTTAAAGCTGCCCTTTGAGGCTTGCAAGTCGGATGTAGCGCCGATTCTCGATTTTTGGATCACAATGCCGGTGTTTTGATTTGGGTCACTTCTGCCTTGTGCAGTGATCATGTTCTTCTGGCCGGAATTAGGTTTTCTTGCATGGATGTCACAGTTTTGTAACACGACAGCAGCATTGCCGAAGATGAAGTCAACTGTTCCGGCTACCAAGCAACCTTCGAAAAACTGGCGGTTCGAGTGCACATAGAGCGAGTCTTGGTACGCAAGAATGTCGCACCGGTAGAATGCTGAGAGATCAGACCCTACTCTTAGAGCAACAGCTTGATGCTTTGATGGACCTGCTGTGTTTTGGAACGTTATGTCTCGCGCTAGAAACTTCTCACCAACAGCAGCTGCAACCATAAATATTTACGTTTTTCATCAGATATTTGACATGTTACGTTAGTTCGCATATGCATGCATGAGAACGCAGGTGCAAGATCGACAATGCTTAAGTAGATTATTCTCAATCTCAACCAGTGTACGTAATTAATGGTTTGTTTCATCTGTGAACATAATATATCAACATGGGCAAGTGCAATCCAAGGCAATAACAAAAAAAATATTTGCTCTGATTACGATTTAAATGGCTGATGATTGTTTTGAAAAAGGGGGACAACAATCATCAATAGAACATAATGATTCTGCTGCTACGAACAAGCCAACGGGCAACGGCCAAACAAAAAACATGCATGGGGAGTACTGCCCAGGACCCGACTCTGGGTCTGCTATCCCAAAAGTGGTGTCTCATTCATGTCTCCTTCTTTATTTGTTTGACACGTGTACTACCACTTAACTCTAACGTAACTCTGTTAACATTTAATAAGTTAAAAACATAAATAATAAGAAAGTAAATTAAACCTAGCGTAGAGTCCCCTCGGTCCTTGAAAAACACAAAACAATTGACCCCAAATCATCATCTGACAAAAAATTCTAGGGCGTTTGCAGGAGGATTGATTTTTACCCCTAATCGAGCAATGGTAAAAATGGTGTGAGTCGTGTTCTTGTAAGTCAGAAGATTCAAGACTTGACCGTCGTGGACTTGAAACCTGGTACCGACGACGACAAGGCGGCGCATCGCGGCGATGGCAGTGGCGATTTCCCACTGCCACTACGATGCCGACGGCATTGGATTTCATGACAGATCTAGAAGATTTCAGAGAGATTGGTGTTTGAAAATTCCAGAGAGATTTGTCCCAAGCCTCTCGACTCTTCAACTAATATGATTAAAACAGCGATCTGAAGTAAGCCAAGTGAGAGAGGGGTTTTGGCTGTGGGCTGGCGACGAGTAAGGGAGGGGGAGGGGGTGGGCGTGGGCTGGAAACTGGGGAGTTGTTTCGGCTATTTTTTTTATTACTTTTTTTTTTTTCAATTTAGTAAAAGTTAATAAAGTTAAATTAGAATTAAATGGTATGACACGTGTCAAACAAATAAAAATGAGACAGGAAGGAGACACTATTTTCGGAACAGCAGACCAGGAGCCCAGGACCAGGACCCAAACATCATCCAAAGTACAGGAGTGCGCATATGTGTTTGCAACTTTGCATTGAAAGTATCAAAGAAGAGTAATGCTATTCATATCATATTTTTATATTATATTTATATACCATCTCAAGTAGTGTTTGATGTGGACAGTCACATCATTTGAAAAATTTGCAAAATCCAAGAAAATGAAGGAGAATTGTATACTACAATCATCATTTAATTAACTAGTTTTTCTTAATTATTAATTTATTAAATAATGAACTAAATTTAAAAATCTAATTAATTCAAATGATATGACTGTCAACATCAAATGTCACCTAAGATGGTATGAAAAATGTAATACAAAAACATAGTATGAATAACATTGCTTTTTTACATTAGTACAAAAATTAACATTAAACTATGAGATGTCAGAGAGACTCATTTAGTATTTCTCAAGATGATATAATATGGAGGAAAAATGGTACAATTTAATCTTAAGTAACAAAGTGGCATGTTTATTTATAAATTATAAGGAAAAGATTTGCAACGAGTGAAAAAAAAAAATAATAAGTGCGTATTTCATATCCAAACACTAAACCCTAAAATGATGTGTATTATCAAGGAAGAGGGATTGTTTATTCCATACTCAATATTTCATATCCTCATCCTTCATATCCTTGTTCATTTTAAGCAAACATGTCCTAATAGTTGAAACTTTTTTCATAATATTATTTAGACAAAGTTAATAACATATTATACATGCGTTACTTTATTTAGTGACATCTAATTTTCACTATTCAGATAAGATTGCTAACTGTACATCTGTACATGAAGACATATTTAGCAATCATCAAGACAGTTCAACTAACTTTATGCAAGTGCAAATGTCAAATTTAAATCTCCGTGAAATTAGTTCATTACTATAAGAAACATATTACCTATTTAAATTATAACTTAGCATACGTAACAAAAGTCGAGCAATTACTAAACTTATATGCATTTGTAAAATTATATATAATTAAATTAATTAGAATAGTATGCTCTCTTTAAAGTGGCGTATCGTTTAATCACTAGACTTATAAGATGTAGAAAGTGCAAATTTTAAAAGAGGCCCATATGGCATAATTTATGAAGGCGTATCCCACTCTGTCACCCACTCGGCTCACTCACTAGTCACTAGACTCACTACACTAACTGGCAATTGTGGGGATTAAAACTGTGGGGATCTTATAAATCTTCACATCTAAGTCATTTATTGTATATCAAGCGCTCAGAATTTATTTGAATTTTATTATTTAAAATCAAATATAAATAATACCTAATGAAAACTAACCGTACGATTTACAATGAAAGATTAAGATGTTAGGATTCCTAAGATCTCCGTAAAGAAGTTCAGGACAAAATTCTCATCCTATGGGTACATACATACATCGCTGCATGGAACCCACATTGTTATAGACAACACAACCGCCAGAAGGATACCGTAAATAACAATTATCCAAATATACATTGAACAAATCAAAACCATAAAATAAAAATAAAAACAGCAGAGAATGATGAACAAGGAAAGGGAACTTCTTCAAATCCCTTCTTTCTAATCCACCAAATCAGTGAATTCGTATCATTGAATTTAATTTCATGGCTAAAATTATTATAACTTTTAAAGTGGGCCCTTATTTGTAACCGTTTGATCAAATTTCAATGACACGAATTCATTGATTTGATGGATTAAAAGGAAGAGATTTGGAGAGGATCTCTATCCGATGAACAAGATTGAATTATTATTTTGTTTTATAAAAGCTAGAGACTTGGAAATTTAAAAAGAATAAAGAATTGGAGAGATTTTTCAGTGTGATTGTTACACGGAATGATATATTACATGTCGTTATATAAATGGTGAGATATGTGTGTTAAAAAATTAATAATTTAAAAAATAAAAATTTCACCATTTTCATAAAAACACGTGATGTACCATTCGTGTTCCTATCACAACTAAAAATTTCTCAAAGAATTGGACTTACCAACCGTGGCCGAGTTGAAAGTTGTGCTGCCATCGACCACATTTTTACTAGCAGTGATGATAGTGTTTTTTCTCCCATCTCCCATAAACATAATGTTGGTCTTTTTCTTCGGCACGTCCACATTTTCTCTATAAACCCCGGCCTTTATTCTAATCACGTATCTTTTACTACTCTTCTCAGGCGCGGCAGCCACCGCAGCTGACACCGTCTTGTAGTTCCCACTTCCGTCTGCCGCCACCACCACATTTGGTGTGACAGATGACGACTGCAGCAGTTGCCTGTCTGCCACCGACAGCCACTCCGGCCACCCATGCTCGTCCACCACATCCTCCTTCAGCTTTCGGTTCACATTCGTTTTCATCTCGTATGCAATGTCGGTATCGGTCATGTTCTTGATCATGGTCAGCGCATTACTGCACAATTTTTCTACGTGCACCTGAGTGACACACCAAATGTATTAAGTAACGGTGTTAGCAGAAATATCGGCCGTCTAAAAACACAGAAACATTGGCACAAAAATAGTAACCAAATATTGATGTCAGGTGAAATTAATTATGCGAAAAATAAAAGTGAAATGCATATTGACAGTCCAAAAATACATACAGTATACAAAAATTAACAAAATATCGAGAAGTCGAAAAGTACATAAACATAAAGATAGCGAAATGATTTTTGGACGACCATTTTTCGTCAACAAAGTATCGAGATTATGAGAAATTTACCTGACCGGCCAACAAAAATTTCCTAACTTTTTTATCAGCATCATCGTGCGAGAACCCATCAAGGCAAGTTTCTTGGTTGGTAATGGCGGAGCTGATCAAAGTTTTTAGGTCATCGGCATGCTGAGTCAAAGTCTTCTCATTAGGGTACTCATGGAGGTCCTCCACAGCATCGTGAAGCTCGTCGAGAGTTTCATCAATGTTCTCCAAACAGTCGTGAAGAGCGCCTTCTCACGCTTAGTGAGCTTATTCTTCCCGGACTTCAGCAGCTTCTCGACGGTGTAGAAGTTGTGCTGAACCGCCGTGGTCGTGATGTTCAATAACAATTCTATCACGTCCTTCTGGCTCGAAACCTTTTTGGAGGCTTCAGGATGAAGTGCAAGTGTGGAAAAGCACAGTTCAGGGTAGAGGGTGGAGCTGCATGAGGATTTGACTATGGCGTGGGAGGCCTCATTGGTTTCATCGTCGGAGTTGTTTTTGGAGGACTTGACTCCGTTGACAATGCCGACGACGGCGCCGACAAGTAGGATGGTTGCGAAAAGGGATATGAAAAGCTTCTTGTTTTTCTTGGTTGTGGATATTTGTTTGCCCGATTCGGACATTTTGGTCAAAAACTCTTTGATTTTGGCCATTCTAAAAATAGTCAATTGGAATAGGGAAAGAGAAAAAAATGGGTACAAAATTTAGAACATGGAGGAGGATAAGAGGGGAGTGATCGAGTTGGGTACGGAGGATGGGGTTATTTATACAATTAGTGAAGTGAAGTGTGGTAGCTTTGGTCTAGTATGTTCTTCTCTCTAATAAATTCACGATGTATTCGGAATAAATATTTGAATTATATCACATAAACTTATTTTTTATTAGCATATTGTATAGATAGCAACAAATAACAAGTGAAACAACATGTTATGTAACTTATGTTCTTAGATCCATATATAAAATCCGATCCATTTGCACAAAACACAGAACCTAATTACTTCTCTAATAATATTTTTATTTGCCAATTTTAAAAGAGGTTTCACCAGTACAACATGTTATGAAACAACATGTTATGTAACTTATGTTCTTAGATAGCAACAAATAACAAGTGAAACAACATGTTATGTAACTTATGTTCTTAGATCCATATATAAAATCCAATCCATTTGCACAAAACACTGAACCTAATTACTTCTACCAGTATAATCTAGTGGTATTTTCTTTTCACATGTAATTGAGATGTTTTAAGTTAGATTCTCGCCAAATACAAAGTTGAACCACATATTATGACAAGCCATTGTAAGGCTTAACCCACTCCCCATTTCTTAACGTATATAATATCGTTTGTTGAAAAAGAAAAAAAATTCAAAGTCGAACATGCCCTCGTTGATAAAGTATATTCAAAGAAATCACTATGCTGAATAAATTATATTTTCTCACATTAGGTATACATAATGTTACATTATTAAATTTGTTATGTCGGTGAAGACCATGGTCCTAATATATTTTGATCTTACCTTACCATCCTTAACTCGAAGCCAGGAATAATTCAAATAGCTTAACAATCAAGTTATGTGATTAGCTGGATGGCTATCAAGTCATTTTTATTTTTATTTTTGGTAAAATTAAACATTTTTAATTAGCATAATATTATTTTATTTAAACATTTTTATTTTATTTAATTAGCATAATATTCTTGCATGAATTATTGCCCCACGTGAATAAATGGCCATACCGGCGTCTTCGCAGAGGAATAATACTCAACTGACAGACAAGCATGGGTCCTCTGTTTCCCAAAAAGAAAAAGCAGGGTCCCCATTCGGACGATTTTTTAACATCTAACTTTTTGGATTAGAATTCGCTTTCATCTTTTTTCTATCACTTTTCATTCATTCTTCTTACATTATTTATTTTGTTTTTCTTTTTTTATAAAAAATTAATATAAAATGTTAACGTGGTTTAATCATTACTGTTCAAATAAAAAGGAAGATAAGGAAAGAAAAAAAAAAAAGAAAAGAACAGAGAATCCTTCTCCCAACTTTTTTCCTCTTTTATTGAAACATTTCATCTTTTATCCAGTCTCTTTTAATGAAACATTTCGTCTTCTATCCAGTACTAAGCCTTATCTTGACTGAGTTCTTCCCACTTCGTAGTTTTGTAACTTTTTTTTTCTTTGCCATTTTTTTGGCTTTTGAACGGTTAGCCTTAGGGCTGGTTCGGGTCAAGATCCCGAACCGAAACCCAAAATCCGAATCCCAAACTGACTCCTTTTGGGATGCAATTCTAAAACCTGAAACCGTACTAAAATCTTGGTGTTCCCGAATTTCGGGATTCCAGAAATTGTTTTGATTTTTCTGTTCCGAATCGGGAATGACTACAGTCCTAATTTAGAAGGTCGAATTAACGTAGATCCCAAATCCCAAATTTGCAAACAAACCCTAAAAATTCAGAGGGTCAACAATACAACGATCGAAGAAGCCCTCGATCAATATTCAAAAGCAGAAAGCCAAATACAAAGATATCAAGCAGTAATTAAAATAAGGGGATTTTCATTAATTCTAAATCTCCAAATTGAAAGTTCAAAACCTTCTCAAATTTAGAATCCAAATCAAAATCAAGGTACAATAATTTCATGAATTTGGACACCTTCATTATCATATCAGAGAAGCTTTGGTTTGGAGGTCGTTCGAGCTGGAACCATGGAAGCCTGGATCTAGAATATGGAGGAGTCATAGAGGTGTGGTGGTCGGTCGGACTTGTTGAGTCTGCTCACAGAGGGAGGAGGAGGAGAGTAGAGTGTAGAGACGATTCGAGAGATTAAAGAGAGTGTAAAGTTTGTTGACATAGCTGAGGAGGAGAGGAGAGAGTGCAGAGATATTTGAGAGGTTAGAGAAAGAGTGCAGGTCGTCTGAGTGAGAGAGGGAGTGTTGACACATTTGAGAGATTAGAGAGAGTAAGGTCTTTTATCCAACGATTACAATTTATTTTAATATATATATATATAATATATGATAAATAAATGTATAATATGTATACAAATCGGTTAGGGATTACCGAACATTTACCAACCAGGTCCCAATTCCTGTACCGAATCCATAGGATTTTTTTGGTATGGGTTACCGAACTTTTCAGGATTTTTTATTTCGGGATTTTTTTGGTTTTGAAGTTGGGAATTTTCGGTTTGGTTTGGGTAATTCGGGATTTTTTTCTAGCCCTAGTTAGCCTCTCTATGGGAGATAGTCTTACAAATTAGAGAGTTTTTCATGAAAAGAGTTTGGGTTAGGTTTAATTTAATAAAAAATCATGTTATAACTTTATTTAATAAAAAAACTTAAATTTTAATGAAAAACCCTTGACTTTTTAATAAAGAGGACAGAAAAACTTAAATTTTAATGAAAATAACAAAATTTTAATATTAAAAAAAAAAAAAATTTGACACAGCACGCATCCATCACAGACACTATTTATGAAACAGTACTACACTATATATGAAATTGAACACTATTTATGAAATTGAATACTATTTATGAAATTGAACACTATACTATTTATGAAACTAAACGTAACTACGCTATTTATTGTTCAGTTTCATAAGTAGTGCATAGTTCTTGGTTCACTTTTGTAAATAATGTTTAGTTATTGGGTCTTGTTTCATAAATAATGTCTCATTCTTGATCCAGTTTCATAAATAGTGTCTCATTCTTGATCCAGTTTCATAAATAGTGTCTAGTTCTTGGTCCACTTTCATATATAATTTATAGTTCTTGGTCATGTTTCATAAATAGTATCTAGTTTTTTATCCAGTTTCATAAATTGTGTATAGTAATTGATACAGTTTCATAAATAATGTCTCTTTCTTGGTCCAGTTTTATAAATAGTATCTTTTTCTTGATCCAATGTTTTACATTAAACTCTTTCAATTTTTTATATTTTCTAATCAAACAAAGAACCAATTAGAACTGGAGGTAATTGAAAATTCATATGGTTCACAACTCAAAGTTTTTTTTGGAGTTCCTTATGTTATGTTAATGAACTCCCCAAGTTCTCCCTAAGAATGCTTTTTTATTTTCTTCCAAAAAAAAAAAAACCCTTCTGCAAGGTTTTTTTTTTTTTTTTTATGAATCCCCCTTCTCCTGCCATCAATCACTCACTCCACATAAATATATTTTTTTTTTAAAAAAAAAAAGTTGCGGCATACATTTTAAATGGATAAAAAAACTCCATAGAAGCAAATACATAAGCTGGGAAAAAGCACCAGCACACCAAACCAAACAAAATCTGGGAAAAAACGCTATGCAATTGCACGCACGTAATTAGGATTTTTTTTTTGTTTTTTTATTCTTATCATTAAATAAAGTTATAGGATGATTTTTTGTTAAAATTTAAAGTTTTGAAGATATTTTCATTAGTTTTCCTTACAAATTAAGTGAATGTGGCCACACTACGAAAGGGTATGAAAACTAGACATTTTTACACTACACGAAAATAACATATTTTAGGTCAAGACGATAATTAAATGGGTCGTTATTGAGTGGCCCATTAATAATGTCCTTAACGGGTTTGTGCATAGGTAACCTGTGGGTAACCTATTTCAACCCGTTAAGCAAAAAAATATTTTGTGATTTTAAAGTTAAACTACTAAAAAAACTTACTATAAAATACAACCGTCATAGTGTATATATTGTATATTAAATACGTATTATTGTACTAATATTCTATATAAGTTAAAAATTTGTTTTTATTATGAAAGTTTCTTACTATTATTATTGACAATAAATTTTACTTGACTTGTTGTTCAAAATTCAAATCAACTAGTATTGTATTAGTATAACAAAAAAAAAAAAAAAAAAACTGACTTTCAATTTTGTAGTTAAGACCTAACAAATTGTTTTACTCTCATGCTCAAATGATTTATCCTCTTAAAAGTGAGATTAAAATATTATAAAACACATTAAAAATATAAATATAAAAGTAATTTACAAATACCAAACACATTAAAAAAATTACAATAATCAATTGTGAAAAATGTGAAAAAAAATATGCCAACGCTTGTGATCACGTCCTCTACGTTTTGAGATAATATATCATTGTTTAACCTTTTATAACCCTACAAACCCTCGTGAGTAGTATTTTAGGAAGTTCAAAATAAATAAAAATTCATAATAATTAATGTACCAGTGTATAAAAATGTGAAAGAATATATAAATGCTTGTGATTGCATCCTCCACGCATAAACGATAGTTACATCATTTAGATTTTTAAAACCCTCCAAACCCTCATTAATTGTGTTTTTTTTTATTTGTGTGTAAAATTAATAATAATTATAGTAGAAGTGTGAAAAATGTAAAAAAAAATATGCAATCACTCATAACGACAAGTTTTACAGCTTTCGTGAAGGGGTCAACTCCGAAATCCGACACCATAATCCATAAACCTTAGATTTGTATTTAACCGTCGATTGTCGTTTACGCTTTATTCTTCTACCGAATTTCAGTTTTTAGATTTTCTTTTTAAAACGTGATCTTTTAGTGTATGTAGAAAAAACAAGAGGTTTTGACCATTGATATCATGTTCAAATATTTACAATTAACTAAAATATGAGTCGATGTTATATAATTCCTAGAGATTTTATAAACTTCGAGCAATATTTTCATTAACGATAAACCTTTGAACGCAATATCAACGGTCTAAATCGTTCTTCTTCTTGGATCCCCTAAAAGATCTTTTTTTTTTT